GTAGAGAAAATGGTGCATCAGCCAGTGTGGTCGGCATTTCGCACGTATAGTGCAAGTAGGGCCAAGGAGAACGGAAACGCTCATTTCTCAAAAAGTAAAGGGAATCTAGCAGTCTCACTCGATCAGAAGGTGGGAAATATATAAATCTAGTGAGCTAATAAGGTTTGAAAGGAATCTAATGCATATGTATATGGAAAATGGTGCATTGGCCAGGTCGGTCAGTATGGGAACTTAGAGTGCAAATGCCAGGGAGAACGGAAGCGCTCAGATCTCGCATAGTACACGGAATCTAGTGGTCTCACTCAAATAGAAGGTAGGAAATAAATTCATCTAGTGAACATAAGGGTTTGAAAGGTAACTAACGCACATGTGTAGAGAAAATGGTGCATCGGCCAGTCTGGCCGGCATTTCGCACTTATAGTGCAAGTAGGGCCAAGGAGAATGGAAACGCTCATTTCTCAAAAAGTAGAGGGAATCTAGCGGTCTCACTCGATCAGAAGGTGGGAAATATATAAATCTAGTGAGCTAATAAGGTTCGGAAGGAATCTAATGCATATGTATATGGAAAGTGGTGCATTGGCCAGGTCGGTCAGTATGGGAACTTAGAGTGCAAATGCCAGGGAGAACGGAACCGCTCAGATCTCGCATAATACACGGAATCTAGTGGTCTCACTCAAATATAAGGTAGGAAATATATTCATATAGTGAACGTAAGGGTTTGAAAGGTACTAACGCACATGTGTAGAGAAAATGGTGCATCGGCCAGTCTGGCCAGCATTTCGCACTCATAGTGCAGGTGGGGCGAGGGAAAATGGAAACGCTCGTTTCTCAAGAAGTAAAGGGAATCTAACGGTCTCACTCGAACAGAAGGTGGGAAATATATAAATCTAGTCAGCTAAAAAGGTTTGAAATGTATTCAACGCACATGTATAGAGAACTGGTGCATTGGCCAGGTCGGTCAGTATCGGAACTTAAAATGCAAATGCCAGGGAGAACGGAAGCGCTCAGATCTCGCATAGTACACGGAATCAAGTGGTCTCACTCAAATAGAAAGTAGGAAATATATTCATCTAGTGAACATAAGGGTTTGAAAGGTAACTAACGCACATGTGTAGAGAAAATGGTGCATCGGCCAGTCTGGCCGGCATTTCGCACTTATAGTGCAAGTAGGGCCAAGGAGAACGGAAACACTCAATTCTCAAAAAGTAAAGGGAATCTAGCGGTCTCACTCGATCAGAAGGTGGGAAATATATAGTTCTAGTGAGCTAATAAGGTTCGAAAGGAATCTAATGCATATGTATATGGAAAATGGTGCATTGGCCAGGTCGGTCAGACTGGGAACTTAGAGTGCAAATGCCAGGGAGAACGGAAGCGCTCAGATCTCGCATAGTACACGGAATCTAGTGGTCTCACTCAAATAGAAGGTAGGAAATAAATTCATCTAGTGAACATAAGGGTTTGAAAGGTAACTTACGCACATGTGTAGAGAAAATGGTGCATCGGCCAGTCTGGCCGGCATTTCGCACTTATAATGCAAGTAGGGCCAAGGAGAACGGAAACGCTCATTTCTCAAAAAGTAGAGGGAATCTAGCGGTCTCACTCGATCAGAAGGTGTGAAATATATAAATCTAGTGAGCTAATAAGGTTCGAAAGGAATCTAATGCATATGTATATGGAAAATGGTGCATTGGCCAGGTCGGTCAGTATGGGAACTTAGAGTGCAAATGCCAGGGAGAACGGAAGCGCTCAGATCTCGCATAGTACACGGAATCTAGTGGTCTCACTCAAATAGAAGGTAGGAAATAAATTCATCTAATGAACATAAGGGTTTGTAAGGTAACTAACGCACATGTGTAGAGAAAATGGTGCATCGGCCAGTCTGGCCGGCATTTAGCACTTATAGTGCAAGTAGGGCCAAGGAGAACGGAAACGCTCATTTCTCAAAAAGTAAAGGGAATCTAGCGGTCTCACTCGATCAGAAGGTGGGAAATATATAAATCTAGTGAGCTAATAAGGTTCGAAAGGAATCTTATGCATATGTATATGGAAAGTGGTGCATTGGCCAGGTCGGTTAGTATGGGAACTTAGAGTGCAAATGCCAGGGAGAACGGAAGCGCTCACATCTCGCATAGTACACGGAATCTAGTGGTTTCACTCAAATAGAAGGTAGGAAATAAATTCATCTAGTGAACGTAAGGGTTTGAAAGGTAACTAACGCACATGTGTAGAGAAAATGGTGCATCGGCCAGTCTGGCCGGCATTTCGCACTTATAGTGCAAGTAGGGCCAAGGAGAACGGAAACGCTCATTTCTCAAAAAGTAAAGGGAATCTAGCGGTCTCACTCGATCAGAAGGTGGGAAATATATAAGTCTAGTGAGCTAATAAGGTTCGGAAGGAATCTAATGCATATGTATATGGAAAGTGGTGCATTGGCCAGGTCGGTCAGTATGGGAACTTAGAGTGCAAATGCCTGGGAGAACGGAACCGCTTAGATCTCGCATAATACACGGAATCTAGTGGTTTCACTCAAATATAAGGTAGGAAATAAATTCATCTAGTGAACGTAAGGGTTTGAAAGGTAACTAACGCACATGTGTAGAGAAAATGGTGCATCGGCCAGTCTGGCCGGCATTTCGCACTCATAGTGCAGGTGGGGCCAGGGAGAACAGAAACGCTCGTTTCTCAAAAAGTAGAGGGAATGTAACGGTCTCACTCGATCAGAAGGTGGGAAATATATAAATCTAGTCAGCTAAAAAGGTTTGAAATGTATTCTACGCACATGTATAGAGAAAATGGTGCATTGGCCAGGTCGGTCAGTATCGGAACTTAAAATGAAAATGCCAGGGAGAACGGAAGCGCTCAGATCTCGCATAGTACACGGAATCAAGTGGTCTCACTCAAATAGAAAGTAGGAAATATATTCATCTAGTGAACGTAAGGGTTTAAAAGGTAACTAACGCACATGTGTAGAGAAAATTGTGCATCGGCCAGTCTGGCCGGCATTTCGCACTTATAGTGCAAGTAGGGCCAAGGAGAACGGAAACGCTCATTTCTCGAAAAGTAGAGGGAATCTAGCGGTCTCACTCGATCAGAAGGTGGGAAATATATAAATCTAGTGAGCTAATAAGGTTCGAAAGGAATCTAATGCATATGTATATGGAAAATGGTGCATTGGCGAGGTCGGTCAGTATGGGAACTTAGAGTGCAAATGCCAGGGAGAACGGAAGCGCTCAGATCTTGCATAGTACACGGAATCTAGTGGTCTCACTCAAATAGAAGGTAGGAAATAAATTCATCTAGTGAACGTAAGGGTTTGAAAGGTAACTAACGCACATGTGTAGAGAAAATGGTGCATCGGCCAGTCTGGCCGACATTTCGCACTTATAGTGGAAGTAGGGCCAAGGAGAACGGAAACGCTCATTTCTCAAAAAGTAAAGGGAATCTAGCGGTCTCACTCGATCAGAAGGTGGGAAATATATAAATCTAGTGAGCTAATAAGGTTCAAAAGGAATCTAATGCATATGTATATGGAAAATGGTGCATTGTGTCAAACATTATATATGTTATACTTGTGTAGGCTACAGTGGGTTAGCCTATAGGGGGTACACAATTCTAGGGTTTACTACTTGTACTCTTTTCACTTCTAGTTCATCCATTCCTGTTCGCTTATTCTCACATGGTATAGAGCGGGTCCTTCTACGGACCGTTTTTTTTTTGGCCCACCGAAGCGCCCCCCGAGGCGCGATCTTTTTTTTTTTAGCGACCCCTCGGGTCGCCATTTCCCCTGCGGCCCCGCCGCCTTCACTGACGCGGCCCCGCCGCCCTCTCTGTCGCGGCCCCGCCGCCTGCTCTCACGCGGCCCCGCCCCGGCTCCTTCGCGGCCCCGCCGCCTGCTCTCGCGCGGCCCCGCCCCGGCTTCTACGCGGCCCCGCCCCGGCTTTCACGCGGCCCCGCCGACGGCTTTGTCGCGGCCCCGCCCAGGCCCTTACGCGGCTCCGCCGCCTGCTCTCACGCGGCCCCGCCCCGGCTCCTTCGCGGCCCCGCCGCCTGCTCTCGCGCGGCCCCGCCCCGGCTTCTACGCGGCCCCGCCCCGGCTTTCACGCGGCCCCGCCGACGGCTTTGTCGCGGCCCCGCCCAGGCCCTCACGCGGCTCCGCCGCCTGCTCTCACGCGGCCCCGCCCCGGCTCCTTCGCGGCCCCGCCGCCTGCTCTCGCGCGGCCCCGCCCCGGCTTCTACGCGGCCCCGCCCCGGCTTTCACGCGGCCCCGCCGACGGCTCTGTCGCGGCCCCGCCCAGGCCCTTACGCGGCCCCGCCGCCTGCCCCCGTCGCGGCCCGGTCACCTCCTGACGGCCCCGCCGTCCCTTCGTGACGGCCCCGCCGTCCCTTCCTGACGGCCCCGCCGTCCCCTCCTGACGGCTCCTGCCGTCCCCTTCTACCGGCCCCGCAACTGCACCTGCTGGCCCCGCCGCTGCACCTACCGGCCCCCCACCACCCACCCCCCCTTTTCCCGTCGCCTGTCGAGGCGACCTGAGAGGCCAGCAGAGGGGTGGCAGGTGTGTGGCCTCCCCTGCTTCTCCTCCTCCTTCATCTCCCACTGCAGCAGCCGAGCCGCTCACCTGCAGCAGCCGAGCCGCCCCACGGCCGAGCCGCCCTGCACCCGAGCCGCCCAGCAGCCGAGCCGCCCTGCCGCCGAGCCGCTGAGCTGCTGAGCTGCAGTTGCTGCCGAGCCGCCCTGCCGCCGAGCCGCCGAGTCACCGAGCTGCTGAGCTGCAGTTGCTGCTGAGCCGCCTTGCCGCCGAGCCGCCTGAGTCGCCCGAGCCGCCGAGCCGCCGAGCTGCCGAGCCGCTGAGTCGCCGAGCCTACTCTTCCCACCACTGGTGAGCTCTTGCCCTGCTAGCACGCTGCGCGTCGCCTGCTTGCCTGCCTGCCTGCCTTTTGGCTTGCCTGGCTGCCTGCCTCCCTGCTGCTAGTCCTGCTCCTGCTTCTACTTGCGGAGCCAAATGCAGCCCCAGCGACGCCGGCGTGAGTCCCTCACGCCCCAGCAGCTGCGTGAGTGGTACGCTGGTTGGGGCTGTAGGGGTGGCGACGCTACTCCTACTACCACTCCTGCTGCTTCTACTCGTGGTGGCGGCCAGATGCAGCTCCCGCGACCCTCTCGCGTGTCTCTCACGCCTCGCCAGCTTCGTGAGTGGTACGCTCAGAGTGGAGGGTCTCTCAGTGCTGTTCGCTGCTCTTACGTGATTCGCACTGGTACTCGGACTGGTCAGCCTTGTGGGACACGTAGTCATACACCGTCCCGCTGCTTCGCCCGTCTGAGCGACGCCTTGCGTACCGTGTTTGGCGACGAGGCTGAGCTTCCCGACTCGGTGGAGTTGCTTAGGCAGAGGGTAGATATATATGCTCTTGACTATGATGCTATTCTCACTGCCATGTATGCATTGCCTACTAGTGCTGACCGTGCCGGTCACCTGTGCGTCCCGCCTGACCCAGGTATAGGACCTGCTGCTCTAGCTACTGGTGAGGCTGCTGCTCTGGGTGCTAGTGAGTCTCCTGCTCCAGGTACAGGTGCGGCTGCTGCTCTAGGTGCTAGTGAGTCTGCTTCCTCAGGTGCGGGTGAGGCTGCGCTCTCAGGTACCGCGTTGGCTTCGGCCTCCCTCACCTTTACACTTGACTCTGGGGCTTCTCGCTCCTTCTTTCGGGACCGCACCACACTCACGCCGCTTGGTCGGCCGGTTGCAGTCTCCCTGGCTGACCCCTCTGGGGGTCCTGTCCTCACTCACTTCTCCACTGTCCTCCCGTGTCCGGCTGCCCCCTCGGGCACCCTGTCTGGCCTGTACCTCCCCTCGTTCTCGACGAACTTGGTGAGTGGTGCAGACCTACAGGATGCGGGGGTTCACCAGTTCACTCCTGCGAGTCAGCGGGTGACCCACTGCACGGACGCACGCACAGGCCGGCACCTGGCCACGTTCTCGCGTCGGCCGGGGTCGAGCCTCTACACCCTGACCACTGAGTCTCCTCCTGTCCCCGCGTCCGGTCAGGTAGCAGCGTCGGGTCAGGTGTTTGCTGCTGCGTCCAGGTCTGGTCCTGAGTCTGCCCCCTGTTCGTGTCGCCTCCTGTCTCACGAGACTCTTATGTGGCACCACCGTCTAGGCCACCCCTCCTTGCCCCGTCTTCGGGGCATGGCTTCCCGTGTCCTTGTCTCTGGTCTTCCCCAGTCTCTCCCTCCCCTTCCTTCGGGACCAGGACCTTCCTGTGTCCCCTGTGTCGAGGGGCGCCTCAGGGCTGCTCCTCACTCCTCCCAGTTTCCCCCGACGAAGGCTCCTCTGCAGACGCTTCACATGGACGTGTGGGGCCCGGCCCCCGTCCGTGGGCAGGGTCACGAGCGCTACTTCCTGTTGGTGGTTGACGACTACTCGCGTTACACCTCAGTCTTCCCCTTGCGCAGCAAGGGTGCTGTCACTGAGGTGCTGATCGACTGGATCCGCGAGGCTCGTCTCCAGCTCAGGAGGAGCTTCGGCTCGGACTTTCCTGTTCTGCGTCTGCACTCTGACCGAGGTGGGGAGTTCTCCTCTCGCCTTCTGCGAGACTACTGTCGTGCAAAGGGGATCCGCCAGACCTTTACGCTTCCGGACTCTCCACAGCAAAATGGGATTGCTGAGCGCCGCATTGGCATGGTCATGGATGTCGCTCGTACGTCCATGATGCATGCGGCTGCCCCCCATTTTCTGTGGCCGTTTGCGGTTCGGTACGCGGCGCATCAGCTCAACCTTCACCCCAGGGTCTCTCGGCCCGCGATGTCCCCAGTGTTACTGTGGACGGGGAAGGTCGGCGATGCGTCTGCGTTCCGTGTCTGGGGATCTCGGGCGTTTGTCCGCGACTTGTCTGCGGACAAGCTGTCCCCTCGTGCTGCTCCCTGTGTCTTCCTTGGCTTCCCCCCTGACGCTCCAGGGTGGCAGTTCTACCACCCCTCCTCTCGTCGTGTTCTGTCCTCCCAGGACGTCACGTTCGACGAGTCAGTCCCCTTCTACCGCCTCTTCCCCTACCGTACTCCTTCCCTTCCCCCCCCACCGGACTTCCTGGTACCAGTTCCCCCCCCCGATAGACCCCCTCCCCCCTCAGGTTCCTGCCCCTTCGGGTGTGTCCCAGGTAGACACGGTTGAGCCAGTCGAGGTTGCTGCTGAGTCTGGTCCTGCTGTGGGTGCTGAGCCTGGGGGTGCTGCTGCTGGGGGTGCTGAGCCTGGGGGTGCTGAGCCTGGGGGTGCGAGGCCGAAGGGTGCTGAGTCTGGGGGTGCTGAGCCGGGGGGTGCTGAGCCGGAGGGTGCTACGTCAGGAGCTGCTGAGCCTGGGGGTGCTGGGCCTGGAGGTGCGGAGCCTGCGCCTGCTGGACCTGGGGGCTCTCCGGTTCTTCCGTCTCGGCGGGAGCCGCTCTCTCCACAGGAGCTGCGCGAGTGGTTTGCTCGCCGCTGGAGGCGTGCTGCTGGAGCTGGAGCTTCTTCGCCTGCTGAGGGTGCTGCCGGTCCCGGAGCTGCTGGGCCTGCGGGTCCTACTGGAGCAGGAGCTACTGAGTCTGGGGGTGCTGAGTCTGGAGCTGCTGAGCCTGGGGTTTCTCCTGCTGCTGCGTCTCGCCGGGAGCCCCTCTCTCCACAGGAGCTGCGTGAGTGGTTTGCTCGCCGCTGGAGGAGTGCTGCTGGAGCTGGAGCTTCATCGACCGTCGAGGGTGCTGGTGCTGCCGGTCCCGGAGCTGCTGGGCCTGCGGGTCCTACTGGAGCTGGAGCTGCTGAGGGTGTTGGTGCTGAGACTACTGCTGTCTGTCCTGGCGGTGGTTCTGCTGCTGGTGCTGCTGGAGGTCCTGCCGCTGGAGGTGTTGGTGGCGCTGGTACTGTCGCTGAGGGTGCTGGTGCTGTCCCTGCTGAGTCTGGAGCTGCCGCGCGGCCTCGGCCGTACTTCGTTCCGCTCCTACAGCAGGTTCTTGGTCTTTCTCCTTCGGTAGAGTGTCCACAGCCTGTCCAGTCGCAACCACTGTTGGAGCCTTCCTCTCCTTTGCCTGCTCCCTCTCCTTACACTGGTCCTACTGGAGGTCTTGCTGAGCGTCGTGAGCCTGCGTCTTGTCCCGCGTCGCCTGTTCGTGCTGCTCGCGCTAGTGGTCGCGGTTCGCGTCAGCGTCCTCCTCCTGTCCCTGGCACGCACCGGATGTCTTTGTGTCCGTCCACTGCTCCTCTGCGTGCCCCTTTGCCTTCTCCTCCTGAGTCCTCTCTTCCTGCGCTTGCCGACCCTGAGTCGGACTCTCTTCGCGCTGCCAGTCCTACTGTCACGCGTCTGCTTGCTACTGTCGTCACTGACCCCTCTTTTGAGTCCACTGCTGCGTCTGCTCTAGTCGCTGAGCTCGTTGACTTTGCTGCTCGCTGTCGTCTCGACTACGCTGCTGGTCTTGTTGCTGAGTCTGCGTCTGTCTGTCCTCCGTCCGTCGGGGGTGAGTGTGCTCTTGGCACGGACGTCCTAGAGGACAGACAGGAGGAGTTACAGTGTCTAGCGGCTGCTTCACCTCATCTCGCGTCTGTACTGCTTGCCTCTGAGGGAGACCCGGATGCACTAGACATCCCGACTCCGCGTTCTTACGCGGAGGCCGTAGAGGGTCCCTACTCCTCTCAGTGGCAGGCAGCTATGGATGCAGAGATGGCTTCCTGGAAGTCCACAGGCACCTACGCTGACGCAGTTCCCCCTCCTGGGGCGAACATCGTCAGTGGCATGTGGATCTTCCGGGTGAAGCGGCCGCCGGGCTCTCCACCTGTCTTCAAGGCGCGGTACGTTGCTCGTGGCTTCAGTCAGCAGCAGGGAGTTGACTACTTTCAGACCTTCTCTCCCACCCCGAAGATGACCACTCTTCGGGTGCTGCTGCACATAGCCGCTCAGCGCGACTACGAGCTTCACTCTCTCGACTTCAGCACTGCGTTCCTGCAGGGTAGCCTGCACGAGGAGATCTGGCTGCGCCGTCCACCTGGCTTCACTGGGACTTTCCCTCCTGGCACCCAGTGGAGCCTCCGACGGCCAGTCTACGGTCTCCGCCAGGCACCGCGTGAGTGGCACGACACACTGAGGACTACGCTTGCGGCTCTTGGGTTTGCTCCTTCTACTGCTGACCCGTCGCTGTTTCTGCGCACCGACACTTCACTGCCGCCGTTCTACATCCTCGTGTACGTCGACGACTTGGTCTTTGCCACAGCGGACACTGCTGGACTCGCCTACGTGAAGTCCGAGCTGCTGAAGAGACACACGTGCACAGACCTGGGTGAACTGCGCAGCTACCTTGGCTTGCAGATCACTCGGGACAGAGCACGCCGCACCATTACCTTGACTCAGTCACACATGGTGCAGCAGGTCCTTCAGCGCTTCGGCTTTACGTACTCCTCGCCTCAGGCCACTCCTCTGCCTACTCGCCACTCACTCTCAGCTCTGCCTTCGGATGAGTCCGTAGAGTCGAGTGGTCCGTATGCAGAGCTTGTTGGCTGCCTCATGTACCTGATGACCTGCACACGACCTGACCTTGCATACCCTCTGAGCATTCTTGCACGCTATGTTGCTCCTGGGAGACACAGACCAGAGCACATGGCTGCAGCGAAGAGGGTATTGCGCTACCTGTGCAGTACGTCGGGCATGGGGCTTGTGCTTGGAGGGCGGAGTCCAGTGGTCCTTACCGGCCACGCGGACGCTTCTTGGGCTGACGACCAGGCTACGCAGCGGTCGTCACAGGGTTACACCTTCAGCCTTGGTTCCGGCTCTGTCTCGTGGCGGTCTACTCGCTCGTCTTCGGTTCTCGGCTCCAGTTGTGAGGCTGAGATCTACGCCGGGGCCATGGCTGCACAGGAGCTTTGCTGGCTCACCTACCTGCTGACTGACCTTGGAGAGCCGCCTTGTTCTCCTCCAGTGCTGTACGTAGACAACAAGGCCATGCTGGCCTTGTGTCGAAAGCAGCGCTTGGAGCACAGAACGAAGCACATTGCTCTCCGCTACTTCCTTGCTCGTGAGCTGCAGCAGCGTGGTCAGTTGCGACTTGCGTACGTGGCCTCTGAGGCCAACACTGCTGATGTGTTCACCAAGGCACTCGCGCCTTGTGATCATCAGCGCTTTTGCACCCAGCTGGGTCTTGTGTCTGTCTTGCCTCACTTGCTCTCCTCTTGACTTTACTTGTACTGTGACATATATATATACCTGCTCTTGCTTGTCTAGTTTTATATATATGTCTGTACTCCTGCATGTGAACTGGCCTCTGGCCCTGCTCTTGTGCTCGGACTGTGTGGTGACTTTGTGATCCACCCTGAGCTTGCTTTGCTTTGCTTGACTAGTCTTGTGACCCCTTGTTCTCCCCCACTTTGCCTATGGGGGTGTGTCAAACATTATATATGTTATACTTGTGTAGGCTACAGTGGGTTAGCCTATAGGGGGTACACAATTCTAGGGTTTACTACTTGTACTCTTTTCACTTCTAGTTCATCCATTCCTGTTCGCTTATTCTCACACATTGGCCAGGTCGGTCAGTATGGGAACTTAGAGTACAAATGCTAGGGAGAACGGAAACGCTCAGATATCGCATAGTACACGGAATCTAGTGGTCTCATTCAAATAGAAGGTAGGAAATAAATTCATCTAGTGAACGTAACGGTTTGAAAGGTAACTAACGCACATGTGTAGAGAAAATGGTGCATCGGCCAGTCTGGCCGGCATTTCGCACTTATAGTGCAAGTAGGGCCAAGGAGAACGGAAACGCTCATTTCTCAAAAAGTAAAGGGAATCTAGCGGTCTCACTCGATCAGAAGGTGGGAAATATATAAATCTAGTGAGCTAATGAGGTTCGGAAGGAATCTAATGCATATGTATAAGGAAAGTGGTGCATGGCCAGGTCGGTCAGTATGGGAAGTTAGAGTGCAAATGCCTGGGAGAACGGAACCGCTCAGATCTCGCATAATACACGGAATCTAGTGGTCTCACTCAAATATAAGGTAGGAAATATATTCATCTAGTGAACGTAAGGGTTTGAAAGGTAACTAACGCACATGTGTAGAGAAAATGGTGCATCGGCCAGTCTGGCCGGCATTTCGCACTCATAGTGCAGGTGGGGCCAGGGAGAACGGAAACGCTCGTTTCTCAAAAAGTAGAGGGAATCTAACGGTCTCACTCGATCAGAAGGTGGGAAATATATAAATCTAGTCAGCCAAAAAGGTTTGAAATGTATTTAACGCACATGTATAGAGAAAATGGTGCATTGGCCAGGTCGGTCAGAATCGGAACTTAAAATGCAAATGCCAGGGAGAACGGAAGCGCTCAGATCTCGCATAGTACACGGAATCAAGTGGTCTCACTCAAATAGAAAGTAGGAAATATATTCATCTAGTGAACGTAACGGTTTGAAAGGTAACTAACGCACATGTGTAGAGAAAATTGTGCATCGGCCAGTCTGGCCGGCATTTCGCACTTATGATGCAACTAGGGCCAAGGAGAATGGAAACGCTCATTTCTCAAAAAGTAGAGGGAATCTAGCGGTCTCACTCGATCAAAAGGTGGGAAATATATAAATCTAGTGAGCTAATAAGGTTCGAAAGGAATCTAATGCATATGTATATGGAAAATGGTGCATTGGCCAGGTCGGACAGTATGGGAACATAGAGTACAAATGCCAGGGAGAACGGAAGCGCTCAGATCTCGCATAGTACACGGAATCAAGTGGTCTCACTCAAATAGAAAGTAGGAAATATATTCATCTAGTGAACGTAATGGTTTGAAAGGCAACTAACGCACATGTGTAGAGAAAATTGTGCATCGGCCAGTCTGGCCGGCATTTCGCACTTATAGTGCAACTAGGGCCAAGGAGAATGGAAACGCTCATTCTCAAAAAGTAGAGGGAATTGTCAGAACATATATGTAGCTTATGCTGTTGTGTAGGCTACAGTGGGGTATACCATAGGGGGTACAACCCAATTAGGGTTTTGCTATTTCTACTCACTTCACTCATAGTTCATTCATTCTCGCTCTATTTTCCACATGGTATCGAGCAGGTTCCCCCGTGGGAACCGTGCTTAGGGCCCACCACTTTTAAACTTTTTTTTCTGCCCGGAGCGCGCTCCGGGCCCTCGCTCTCACTCTTTCGGCCTGCCCTGCAGGCCCCTAGCCGCCCGCGCGCCGCCTGTCCCGACCCCTAGCCGCCCGCGCGCCGCCCGTTCAGGCCCCTAGCCGCCCGCGCGCCGCCCGTCCCGGCCCTTAGCCGCCCGCGCGCCGCCCGTCCCGGCCCCTAGCCGCTCGCGCGCCGCCCGTTCAGGCCCCTAGCCGCCCGCGCGCCGCCCGTCCCGGCCCCTAGCCGCTCGCGCGCCGCCCGTTCTGGCCCCTAGCCGCCCGCGCGCCGCCCGTCCCGGCCCCTAGCCGCTCGCGCGCTGCCCGTTCAGGCCCCTAGCAGCCCGCGCGCCGCCCGTCCCGGCCCTCAGCCGCCCGCGCGCCGCCCATCCCGGCCCCTAGCCGCTCGCGCGCCGCCCGTTCAGGCCCCTAGCCGCCCGCGCGCCGCCCGTCCTGGCCCCTAGCCACCCGCGCGCGCCCGTCCCGGCCCCTAGCCGCCCGCGCGCCGCCCGTCCCGGCCCCTAGCCACCCGCGCGCGCCCGTCCCGGCCCCTAGCCGCCCGCGCGCGCCCGTCCCGGCCTCACACTGCCCGTGCGCCGCCCGTCCCTGCTGCACGCCGCCGTCCTGGCCCCCCACGCCGCCCGTTAGCCGCCGTGCAGCCTGAGCCGCCCAAGCCGTCTGCGCAGCTGAGGAGCCGAGCCGCCCGAGCCGCCTGTGCTGCTGACTGCCCGAGCTGCCCGAGCCGCCTGAGCCGCCCGAGCCGCCCGAGCCCCCTCCCCCCCCCTTTTCCCGTCGCCTGTCGAGGCGACCTGAGAGGCCAGCTGAGGGGTGGCAGGTGTGTGGTCTCCCCTGCTTCTCCTCCTCCTTCGTCTCGAGCCGCCCTGCAGCCGAGCCGCCTCGCCGCCGAGCCGCTCTACACCCGAGCCTCCCAGCAGCCGCGCCGCCCTGCAGCCGAGCCGCTCTACACCCGAGCCTCCCAGCAGCCGAGCCGCCCTACAGCCGCGCCGCCGGGTCGCCGAGCTGCCGAGCTGCAGTTGCTGCCGAGCCGCCCTGCCGCCGAGCCGCCCGAGTCGCCCGAGCCGCAGAGCCGCCGTGCTCCCGAGCCTCTGAGTCGCCGAGCCTACTCTACCCACCACTGGTGAGCCCCTGCCCTGCTAGCACGCTGCGCGTCGCCTGCTTGCCTGCCTGCCTCCCTTTTTGGCTTGCCTGGCTGCCTGCCTTACTGCTGCTACTCCTGCTCCTGCCTCTACTGGTGGAGCCAGATGCGGCCCCATCGACGTCTGCGTGAGTCCCTCACGCCCCAGCAGCTGCGTGAGTGGTACGCTGGTTGGGGCTGTAGGGGTGGTGGCGCTACTACTGCTACCACTCCTGCTGCTTCTCCTACTGGTGGCGGCCAGATGCAGCTCCCGCGACCCCCCCCGCGCGTCTCTCACGCCTCAGCAGCTTCGTGAGTGGTACGCTCAGAGTGGAGGGTCTCTCAGTTCTGTTCGCTGCTCTTACGTGATTCTCACTGGTGCTCGGACTGGTCAGCCTTGTGGGACACCTAGTCATACACAGTCCCGCTGCTTCGCCCGTCTGAGCGACGCCTGGCGTACCGTGTTTGGCGACGAGGCTCAGCTCCCCGACTGGGTGGAGTTGCTTAGGCAGAGGGTAGATATATTTGCTCTTGACTATGATGCTATTCTCACTGCCATGTATGCATTGCCTACTAGTGCTGACCGTGCCGGTCACCTGTGCGTACCGCCTGACCCGGGTATAGGACCTGCTGCTCTAGCTACTGGTGAGGCTGCTGCTGCTCTGGGTGCTAGTGAGTCTCCTGCTCCAGGTACAGGTGCGGCTGCTGCTCTAGGTGCTAGTGAGTCTGCTTCCTCAGGTGCGGGTGAGGCTGCGCTCTCAGGTACCACGTTGGCTTCGGCCTCCCTCACCTTTACACTTGACTCTGGGGCTTCTCGCTCCTTCTTTCGGGACCGCACCACACTCACGCCGCTTGGTCGGCCTGTTGCAGTCTCCCTGGCTGACCCCTCTGGGGGTCCTGTCCTCGCTCACTTTTCCACTGTCCTCCCGTGTCCGGCTGCCCCCTCGGGCACCCTGTCTGGCCTGTACCTCCCCTCGTTCTCGACGAACTTGGTGAGTGGTGCAGACCTGCAGGATGCGGGGGTTCACCAGTTCACTCCTGCGAGTCAGCGGGTGACCCACTGCACGGACGCACGCACAGGCCGGCACCTGGCCACGTTCTCGCGTCGGCCGGGGTCGAGCCTCTATACCCCGACCACTGAGTCTCATCCTGTCCCTGCGTCCGGTCAGGTAGCAGCGTCAGGTTAGGTGTTTGCTGCTGCGTCCAGGTCTGGTCCTGAGTCTGCCCCCTGCTCGTGTCGCCTCTTGTCTCACAAGACTCTCCTGTGGCACCACCGTCTTGGCCACCCCTCCTTGCCCCGTCTTCGGGGCATGGCTTCCCGTGTCCTTGTCTCTGGTCTTCCCCAGTCTCTCCCTCCCCTTCCTTCGGGACCAGGACCTTCCTGTGTCCCCTGTGTCGAGGGGCGCCTCAGGGCTGCTCCTCACTCCTCCCAGTTTCCCCCGACAGAGGCTCCTCTGCAGACACTTCACATGGACGTGTGGGGCCCGGCCCCCGTCCGTGGGCAGGGTCACGAGCGCTACTTCCTGTTGGTGGTTGACGACTACTCGCGTTACACCACACTCTTCCCCTTGCGCAGCAAGGGTGCTGTCACTGAGGTGCTGATCGACTGGATCCGCGAGGCTCGTCTCCAGCTCAGGAGGAGCTTCGGCTCGGACTTTCCTGTTCTGCGTCTGCACTCTGACCGAGGTGGGGAGTTCTCCTCTCGCCTTCTGCGCGACTACTGTCGTGCACAGGGGATCCGCCAGACCTTTACGCTTCCGGAATCTCCACAGCAAAATGGGATTGCTGAGCGCCGCATTGGCATGGTCATGGATGTCGCTCGTACGTCCATGATGCATGCGGCTGCCCCCCATTTTCTGTGGCCGTTTGCGGTTCGGTACGCGGCGCATCAGCTCAACCTTCACCCCACGGTCTCTCGGCCCGATATGTCCCCAGTGTTACT